GGGACTGGACTGGAGGACAGGTGTGCAGGCAGGAGGGACTGGACTGGAGGACAGGTGTGCAAGGCAGGTGTGCAGGCAGGAGGGACTGGGCCTGGGAGACAGCTGTGCAGGCAGGAGGGGCTGGGAGACAGGTGTGCAGGGCAGGTGTGCAGGCAGAAGGGACTGGACTTGGGGGACAGGTGTGCATGCAGGAGGGACTGGACTTGGGGGACAGGTGTGCAGGGCAGATGTGCAGGACGGAGGGACTGGACTGGGGGACAAGGGTCCAGGGCAGGTGTGCTGGGCAGGCGCACCAACGTGGTCGCTGGCTCGAGGCAGGTGTGCAGGGAGCAGGAGGCGGGCTGGCCATGCAGGACAGGTGTGCAGAGCATGTCACTGGAGTCAGGGATGAGGAGCTGGTCACACGCCAAGCCCCACGCGGTGGTCACTTGCCTGCGAAGGCGGCGGCAGCGGCGGCCTCGTCAGGGCCCGGCAGGGCCTCGGCGCCCATGTCCATGTGCCCAGGCTCGGCGGCCATCACCGCCACGGCCGTCACGCGCCGCGTCTCACGCTCCGCCTCCGAGTCTCCGTCCTCCTCGGAGTCCTCGTCCCTGCTGAGCACCGGCTCCTCCCTCTCGCCTCCCGCTGCGGCCGCGGCCGCCGCAGCCACAGCGGCCGCGGCCGCCACCGCCGCCGCCTCGGCCAGGCCCAGCTGCTTCGCCGCCGAGTCCGAGTCCTCCATCCGGACTCCGCCGAGCCCGCCCGAAGGCGCCCGCCGAGCCGCGCCCGAGGCCGCCCGAAGGCCGCACTGAACCCGAATCGGGGCCGCCCGAAGCCACCCGCCGAGCCGGGCCGAGCCTGCCCGAAGCGCCCCGCCCGAGCCGGACCGAAGCCGCTCCAGGGCGCAACCGAGCAGAGCCGAGGCCGCCCGAGGCCGCCCGAGGCCTGCAGCCGAGTCCAGACGAAGTGGCCCGAAGCGCGGCGGGCGACACGAAGGGACCGAGGCGAGTCGGAGAGGGCCGATCAGAGGCCGAACCGACACGAAGAGGCCCGGTTGAGCCGACGGCCGAGTCTCTTAGGCCGAGGAGCGCCGAAGCTCCCCGAGGCGAGGAGCCGAGTCGGGACGAACTGAGCCGAGGCTGTCCGAGCGGCTCCGCGCAGGCCTTCTGCCAGCCTCAGACGCTGGAGTGGCCGCTGCCATGGGCGACCAGCCTCGGAGGCGGGCGCTCGCCGACTTCCGACGCAGCACCGGCTCGCAAAGGGAGGCCGAGGCCGAAGACGGCTCCTGCCCCCGGCCGCGAGCGGCGCCGAGTCCTCCCGAGCGGAGCCGAGCTCGGCCGAGTGTTCCCGAGGCCGAGTCCTCTCGCGCGTCGGCTCGCCGCCGCCTCCTGTCCGAAAGTGCCCGAGCGCCGCCGGACACGCCGCTCAGGCCTCGGTCCCGATTCGGCTGTCGACTCCGGAAACGCGGCTCGGTCGCGCCCCTTCGGGGGCAGCCACGAAAATGGCCGAGAGGCCGCGAACGCAGCCGAGCGCAGAGGCTGCCGGGAGCGCGGCGGGGGGCGGGGC